TCCCCTTTGCTCATTTATTTAAGAAATGTTTTCACGAGCAGTGCCTACATAGACATTATGATAGATATGAGGGTCATGAAGAAGGCAGAGGAATCTGGCCTCATAGAATTTTTAGCTGAGTGGAGGAGACAGACATTAATCAAATAACCCTGTAAATTAACTTGTCATAAAGCCCCAACTAGGGCTATGAGGCCACAATAGAGTATTAAAGGATTGTGTTGGAATGAACTAATCCACTTCATCAGGCCCAGAGAAGGCTTCCTGGAGGGAGTGTATCGGATTAAATGTGAGGTGTGTGAGGATATCACAAGGTCATAAAGGTCAGCTGTGCCACCAACTTTCCAGGCAGAGATGGCATGACATCATGAATTTTGTTCTGTAGGCTGGAGTCCAGGGACTCTTAGAAGCAGATGGATGGAGGGATGGAGACAGCTAAAGAATGAAAGGCAGGAGCAGGTGGGTGAGGCAAGGCTAAGGATTTAAAGAAAGGAACAACTGCAAATTTTCCCCAGAAGAGGGGTCTTTTGGCCTTTGAGAGGATTGCTCTGTATACAGAGGTAGGAAGAAACCATCGAGGATTCTGGGAAGTGAGGCTCTTGGCTTGATTTACAAAACCTTTTTGTAAGGTCACCGTGCCCATGCCACTTCCTACTATAACACTGTACCTTCTGTCTTTGCTCCTTTCCAGATACTGTGACAAAATGCTGACAATGGTAAAGAGGAAATGGTTTAATTTAGCTCACAGATCATCAGGAAGCACAGAGCAATGCATGAATGCTGCTCGGCTCCTTCTCCCCATCTGTGCAGGTCAGGGTCCCAGCTAGGGAATGCCACCCCTCTCAGTGGACAGGTCTTCCCGTCTTAACGCAATCCAGGTAACCCCCCACAGGCCTGTCTAGGGTCCCTTCTCCCAGGTGACTAGATTTTGTGAAGTTGACAATGAATTCCATCACACTCTCCAAGCATGTTCCTGGACATGCTTTCCAGCCATTGTATCTTTCTTTTCTAATGACTTCCACTCTGCTCCTCCCCTTCCTCTTCCTCTTGGCTTCCTCCCCTGCTCTTTTTTCGCTGCACCTTCTCCCTATTCTCCTTCGACTTTTTTTTTTCATCTACAGGCAAATTCCTAGTTTTCAATACTAGTTTTGTTTCTCACCTAAGAAAGCCTCTCTGCCATCCATTTAATCCTGGTCTCCTCTCTCCCAGGTAAGGGTGATGACTTGGAAACATGTTCTTCAGCCTCTAGAGACTCTACATGCAAGGAGCAAGGCCCACATGGGCCAGTCTTCGCTTACTTGTTTGTTTATTGTGTTGCAGGCTCAGTGAGGTGGGGAGGGGTGTGCGGGGAGAAAACATTTGCCTTATTGGTATTTCTAGTCTCTTTTCCAGACCCCAGCTCATACTCTGCCCTCAGTAAATGTTTAAATAGCTCAGTTTTAAAATGGATATGTAGCTAAATATTCTAAGTATTTCAGGGGCACCTGGACATTGTCAGAAAAAACAAGTCAATTCTCATAATGAAAAAAAAGTATATCTCAAAAGGCAAACATGGTATTACTCACTTATATATGAATTTTAGACATAGAGTAAAGGATTACAAGCCTACAATCTACCTGAGGCGGGGGCGGGAATAGAGGATAGCAGGATGAGAGATACCATAATGGAGGGAGCCATTATAGGTCTGAGGAGAAATCTGGCACTAGGGAGATTTCCAGAGATCTACAAAGATGTCACCAACTGACAATCTTGGCAATGGTGGAGAGGCTACCCTAAATGCCCTTCCCCTATAATGAGACTGATGACTACTTTATATGCCATCCTAGAGCCCTCATCCAGTGGCTGATGGAAGCAGAGGCAGACACCCACAGCTATACACTGAACTGAACTCTGGAATCCAGTTGCAGAGAGGGAGGAATGAAGATCAAAGAGGCAGGGACCAGGCTGGTGAAACCCACAGAAACAGCTGATCTGAACAAGGGGGAGCACATGGACCCCAGACTGATATCTGGGAGGCCAGCACAGGACTGATCCAGACCCCTGAACGTGGATGTCAATGAGGAGGCCTCGACACTCTATGCAGCCCCTGGCAGTGCACCAGGATTTTATCCCTGGTGTAAGAAGGGACTTTGAGAGCCCATCCCACATGAAGGGATGCTCTCTCAGCCTGGACACATGGGGGAGGGCCTAGGCCTGGCCCAGGATGATGTGGTGGACTTTGGGGGAGCCCCCATGGAGGACCCTACCCTCCCTGGGGAGTGGAAGGGACTGGTGGAGGGGTTGGGAGATGGGAGGGAGAGGGAGAAGGGATTGACATGTGAAGCAACCTTATTTCTAATTTGAACTAATAAAAATAAAAATAAAAGTATATGTCAATAAAGCAATATTTAAAAGTTTATGAGGTTTATTTACTGGTATGAAGAATAAGCTATAGAGTATTGGAGTGACAGCTCCAACAGCCAATAGCATTTGCTGTGCTTGCTGAGTTTTATACCCAGTGCCCACATGTCAACTGAGAAGTGTCAGTAACTCCAACCCCAAAGGATCTGGAGCCTTCTGGGCTCCGTGGATATTGCATGCATGTGGTGCATTTACATACATGTAGGCAAACACACCATAAAAATAAAAATAAAATAATAAATCTTGTTTTTAAAAAGCTGTAGAAACGTATAAGCATATTATCTTTTATGTTGGGCAATGGCATTTATTAGCCTGGCTCACAACACTGTGCTCATTGAGTATATTCATTGAGGTCTTATTACGAATAGAAAATGTTAAATGTCTGACCTCTTTCAGGGAATGACTGTGGTTGCTTCTGACACTGGACACTGCTGGAGTGTCTGGCTGCCATTGTACTGGTCCCAACACTGATATCACTAAAAGATGAATCAAGTGCCAAGGAACCCAGATGGGGCCACCACCTGGTCATTTCTGTCACTGACCCAGAAACACAAGTGAAGGCAGATTCTTGAGAAAAGAATATGCATGCATTGAGGTTCAAAGGCACCTTGGTCAATGTGTTGTTCACTTTGAATTTTGTTTCTTTCATTTGAATTTTGTAACTTGCCTCATGTAGATACTGTAGATATAGATCTATCTCTAAATTTACATTTTAAGAGTCCTGTGGACAGTACTGTGTTTTTCTTTCACATTCCAATTGTACATTGTAAGTATGTAGGAAAGTGGTGAAGCTTTATACATTAACTTTTACTCTTTCAGCCTTAAAAAAAATTGTTGTATTAGTTACTCCTGTGCGTTACTATGGCAAAATGCTAGATAAAAACAACTTTGGAAAGAGGCATTTATTGGGATCACAGTTTAAAAATACATTCAGTTCATGGTGGCGGAGGGAGCATGATGTGACAGGTCACATGGCATCTATACTCGGGAAGCAGAGAGATGAGCGCCGGTGCTGGCTTCCTCCTTTTTATTCAGCCCAGGACCCAGCAGATGAGTTGATGCTGCCCACACCCAGAAACTGCCACATATACATTCCCAGAGGTTTGCTCCCATGGTAATTCTAACTCACGTTAAATTGACAATCAATTTGGAGACTTTCCACATCAGCTGTGCTGTCATCTGCAAAAACAATTTCGTTTTTCTTTTTCTCCATCCTAAATGGCATCATTATATTCTTTTTTTTTTTTTTTTTGTAATTTAATTGACTAGAGCTCCAGTAGGATGCTGTGGAGGTACAGCAAGGATAGTCCATGGTGGCCTCTCATCTTATCAGAAAAGTTGTAGTTTCTTATCTGCTAGTGGCAATTCTTGGTAAATTCTTTTTATCAAGTTGAGGAACCGAGTTCCCTTCTATTCTTAGTTCACCAAGGAACAATACATCTTTTCTTAAAGCAATACATAAGTACAGCTTGCACATTGATCCCTTGGGGGAAATGTATCTTACATTTAAAAAAAAGTCGAGTAGAGTCTAGCTATGATTCAATGTAGTCTTTTGGACTCGATAAAGCTATGTTGTTTTCTATAGATCTGCTTATTTCCTAAATTTGCTCTCAGTGCAGAACATCCATATGGAGGGAGACTTGATGGTCTGGAATGGCTAAGGAGCAAGGCACAAAAACTGATTGGAAGTTAACTAGGACGAGAGTCTCTACAGAAGGATCAGAAGCAGTAGTGTCCTCATCCTTGTGCCTGTCAGCTGAGCACCCTGCCTGACCTAGCAATCACCACCTCATCCAATCGGCCACTTAGTGTGCACTGTAAAACGCCAGGTTAGTTTGCTTTTTGTTTTCCGAGTAGCACCGCTCTTTGGTGTGGTGTGGTGTGGTGTGTTGCTGTGGGTGTGGGGAAAGACTGAGATTCACGAGTCAAAACCAGAACACTAGGACCGTGACAAGTCCGGCACCCTAAGGTTGCAGATCTAAGGAGCCTGAAACCCGGCACACTCCAGGTGGCGGGGATAGGGA